GGGCATTTGGTTAACATTTGGTGTATGGTTCCGCCATCTCGTTGAACTTATTGAAAACAAATCTAGCGAAAACTGCCCGGTCAAATTTATTTACACAAAGCAAATACGTACAATAATTCCTTTTGTCCGTTTTATTGTTCGCGTAATTTTAATTTAATAACTTGCTTCAAAATGCGCTTAAAGCAGTCATAACGGTCATATTTCTGGAATAATGGAAATGAACCCCGGAGAAGGGGAAAAAGAGGGACAAAGGACCAACACAAATCTCCAAACACAGCTAGGTGACTGGTGCGCGACCGAAAAAATCCGCCTGGTCCGGGTATCGAACCCGGGACCTCTCCATTACAGGTGGAGCGCTCTACCAATTGAGCTAACCAGGGGTTAGACGTCAGTAGAGCAAACGGGTTTTATCAACCGCCACCAGTCTAACACCAACAGGGGTGAAGCTTGCAAATTAAGGTTATGATTATAATGCATTTCAATGCAAAGGTGCAAGCGAGCTGGACAAGAATAATGGAAATGAACCCTGGAGAAGGGGAAAAAGTTGGTAGAGCGCTCCACCTGTAATGGAGAGGTCCTGGGTTCGATACCCGGACCAGGCGGATGTTTTCGGTCGCGCGCCAGTCACCTAGCTGTGTTTGGAGATTTGTGTTTGTCCTTTGTCCCTCTTTTTCCCCTTCTCCAGGGTTGATTTCCATTATTCTTGTCCAGCTCGCTTGCACCTTTGCATTTAAATGCATTATAATCATAACCTTAATTTGCAAGCTTCACCCCTGTTCGTGTTAGACTGGTGGCGGTTGATAAAACCTGTTTGCTCTACTGACGTCTAACCCCTGGTTAGCTCAGTTGGTAGAGCGCTCCACCTGTAATGGAGAGGTCCCGGGTTCGATACCCGGACCAGGCGGATTTTTTCGGTCGCGCACCAGTCACCTAGCTGTGTTTGGAGATTTGTGTTTGTCCTTTGTCCCTTTTTTTCCCCTTCTCCAGGGTTCATTTCCATTATTCTTGTCCAGCTCGCTTGCACCTTTGCATTTAAAGGGACAATGAAGGCAATTTCGGAGATCTTTTTGGCGATTGAACTGGGTTCCAGGCACGTCTCAGGCCACGTTGCCCAAATTTCAGCCGAAACCGGCGCTTGTGTGCCGCGCAAATCAAATAACAGTCGCGGTAATAATCGTACCGGGATCGACTGGGGCGACGCCCCAAGAGTTGCGGGAGAAGCCAGGAGAAGCGGAGCTCACGTGATCGATGCGGGGCCAAGGAGCGCGACGTCACAAGAGACGCGTCCGCGATTGGTCGAAACGAGAAACGTGCCCTCGGTCACGTTTTAGTTCGCGATTTTTATAAATACTGTTCTAATTCCCGCTTGAATAACCATCAAAAGTGTAAATCGGATCGGAAATGATTACTAAACCGTAAATAAAGCAGCATCATTTTTTTTTTTTTTTTTTGCTACGCTGGACGCGAAACCGGCAACGAGCAACTATGGGCCAACAAAATAAAATTAAAAAAGAACACGGTACTCGAAAGATTTTGCAAAATGGTAGCTGTACATGGCTGTTCTAACGGTCGACTGAAGACCAGTATTCGTTCGGGCGACGCTAGTTTTCACGTGTGGGTAGCTGTTCGTGTTCTTTGACGACAAAAAGAGGACGTCCGCGGAGGAACCGGATCCCGGAACGGCGGGATCGCTGCCGCTTTCCCTTCGGCATCTCCCCCGCGTCCGTCCTTCGGCATGCGGGCCGCTCGTTGCCGGCTGGGCGGTCTCCGTCGGGTGATGGCAGTGGCCGCCACACACGTACCCCCGTTCCGTTGGTGTTCGGTCACTGAACGGAAGCTCGAACTCGCTCGCGAGAGCGGCATTCGTCCACGTTGACAGAGTCGGCGCAACGACCGCGCCACCGCGCTGCTATAACCCACCGCGGTAACCAGAGTCTCGATCTCCTAAATACTACCGATACCGACTATTCACACTTGACGTCACTCCCTACGTCACCTCCGTTTTCGGAGGCCCAGAAACGAGACTGGAGATGGTTCAGTTTCGGTTTCTTTACTTCTTTCGTCGGCACATAAATACGCGTCATAAATGTCTACAAAAAATTGGGCGGCATGCTATGTTCCCAAGAAGGATTAAAACACCATTTAAAAAAATTAAATAAAATCGTCTTCATTGTCCCTTTAAATGCATTATAATCATAATATTTCTGGATTTTGTTAAAATCTTCCAGCGCGTTTAGGGGAAAGTATAAGAGTTGTACTACCTCATTAGATCTCCAAAACGAACCTAAAAAAAAAAAAAAAGAAATGCCGATACTCTTGCGCATTCCTGAAGCTCAAGTTTGTATAGCAAATTTTTTTAACATAAGGCCGTAGAAGCGTTGAAGGGACGCTACGAACACCCAAAACATCACTCATGCATCGATATCTCAAATGGATGGCCGTACTTGTGGAAAAGAAAGGCGCAATCAAGCGAGGGCTATGACGTCATTGTCCTCATGGAAAATTTGAGACTGAGGGGAAGCGGCCTCGCTTCTCTCCTCCTCGCTTCGGTTCACCAGCTTGACCGACGGGACGGGCTTTAGCGAAGAGGAGAGGGAAGGAGAATCGTGACGTGACTTCTCTCGTCGACCTCGCCGTACGTGTTCAATCGCGCGCTTCTTTTCGAAAAAATACTGCGATACGTTAGAGAAATCGCTGTATGAGTGATGTTTCTTTGGCTTCGGCAGGCAGCGTCCCGTCTATCCGTCTAGCCTTGTTTTGTGAGCTCGAAATTTCGGTTCAATATCCCTTTACATCAACAAAAATAAAAAAAACAAAAAAAAAAAAACGCTCACCTCACCATGTATGGATGTACGTGCGTCGCCAGTCCTGTAGCTGATGAACAGTAGTTGCGATAATACGGGGGCGATTATGCGAGGTCTTTCGTTATAGCTTGGCAAAAAGCAAACGTTACGGACCACTATAGAGCCAATCAGAACGTTGGAGCGAAGCCCGGAACATCCCTCCGAGAAAGGAGCTCCACTCCTGAAGATATATTTTCGTTTTGCGTGCGTCGATTCGAGGCTTCGATTGGCTCGCTTGCGCCGTTGCTTTCGCCGCTTGCCAAGTTACGTTGCAACAGAGTACAGTTTCAGCGGGCTGCGGATAGATGTCGTCGCTCGCCCGCGACGCGGCTCACAGGTCTCCGCCGGTGCCGCGGGTGCAACGGGCAGAGGGGCAGGGTTCCCGACGGCACAGGCGCCCGGCACCTGGCCGTAGCCCAAAGTGCGCCGACGTTGGCACTGATACGGACGCTCGAGGCGATTTCACGCGCGGGGCGTGCGCGTCACAAACTCACACGCCTCTCGGATACGCGGCTGGAGGCGAGCGCGGACACGGGCTTCTCGGCCCTCGGATACCTTGTTTTGGAGAGGGAACTCATGCGGTCCTGACCACGGGAGCCTCCCGGCAACGGGACAACGCCACCATGAGACGCTCAACAGGCGAGTTTTTGGATAGATCACTACTCCTCGTCTCGCGAGGCGTGCAGCTGGGACGTCCTCGATTTGTAGTCTTGGCACGTGCTTATTGATACGTAGTGTCTTGTGTTTGACGGAAACAACCTTTTTTTCTTCTTCTTTTTGAGAGAGAGGAAAGAGGGGACACGCGCCAGCTTGTGGATGGTAGATTTCATTAAATTGATGGCATTCGTGTACGCTGGTTTCTTTGCTTCTTCTTGACGTACAAACTTTGATCCAGTGTGGGATGTATGTTGTAAGGAAGGTCACCTACGTCGGCAAGGATTATGCGCGTAATTATGGATGGATATAAATTAAAAGTGTGCGGAAGAACTTGACTTGTGGTACGGGTTGCTGTACTTTGTTTGGTTTTTAATTGCCATTTTGTTTCAGTCACGTAATCTTACCGCTTTAAGTAAGTTTGAAACGGTAGAACGGTGTATCCGATAAAAACAATGTGCATTTTCGGAGTAAATCTCGCTTGGAAGTTTTCACGTACCGCCGGTTCTAAACCGGTATTCCACTTTAGTGTTATCTATAGACAAATGTGTTGCCAAACGCTCAATTAACTCATTCTGTACGTCGGGGCAAGGCTGCTGTTCCCATTTTGTGCACCGGAGCTGTACCGACACGCGATAAACGATAGCGAGAAAGTCATATTCACTTATTTTACATAAGATATCCGTAGAAATGTTTTTCCTTTTCTTTTTATTTTGTCTCATATATTTAAATTTTTTGTTTACTGTAAGAAGCGCGACGTGGATATTTCATTTGAAGCCTTGCATGCAGTACGCCACAAGACCTTCCACGCAAAAAAAAAAATGTTAAAAACGATTTAATTGAGCCGTAAAAGAATTTAAGGTTCAGACGAGAGAAGAAAAGTTGGTAGATTTCGGTGACTTGGCTCACTTGAACGTTTGCTGGCCAGTTTATTAAATATATAGACGGAATTAGACCGTAATATTTGACATGGGGTCTTCCTATATGATACTGAAGAGGGCTACATAGTTTTGTAAATATCAAAAATGAAGCGGAGTTGCCCTTTAATACCGAGTGGAAAAATCGTGAGTTCAGTAGCAGTCAACATTTGAACAGCATTGCAGACCTCGTCAGCATGAGCCATGAGCCTCTGCGTAATACTAAAATTTCTGGCCGCATAAAAAGCTGCCACTATACTATATTTTGCTATAACTTGGCAAGAAGCAAATACTACAGCTCGCGTATGTCATTTAAGAGTGCCAGAACTAAGTGCATGACAGCTCTCTATAGTTGGTATTCACTGGCAGCCACAGCTGAGCTCGCTGTTGCCGAGCATGTGTTCATGGCAAGCTTCCACAACGCTTCTAACACGTATAATGCACACCATCAAGATTGTCTTTTAGGGGGACTATAAATAAGAACTCATCCCGAGTATGCACTATGAGCAGTCCCATCAAATGTGGCATCCGGTGAATACCACCTATAGGAGGAACGTATGCCAACACTGTATGTTGTCACGTGCCTCACCCCAACCGGCCATGATTGGCTCGGTGGAGCTGTAGCTTTACTTGTTTGCAAAGTCATCCTGAAACAAAGAAAATTATCATGCTACATTTGGAAGAAATAGATAGTGGGACAGGTGGAACAGTGCAATAAATGATGTATTATCCTTTCTTTTACTATGGATTCCTTTGGATGAAGCTTGATCTCCACTACTGCCCTCTCATCTCAGACTTACAACTGGTGCAGTTCTGAGACTACCGTAGAATACCACGCATCCGCCCATTCCACATTAAGTGCCCATTCCCAAATTTGTAAGATCTAAGGAAATATGCACAGTACATTGAATTGATATGTAAAATTGATGACTGGACAAGCGCCCATCCCCGATTTTTTTGCGATTATCTTTAAATGGACCTTTTGGCAAATATGTGCTGCCACCTAGACATGCGACTGGGTTCGAGACTAAGTGGCTAGAAAACTATGTGCGCGCAAGGCCTCTCCCACCCGTTCGACACCCAAAGCGTCAGCCACATCCTGCTTACCCACTGAGGCACTGTGACCTAGATACGGCTCCCCCAAACTCGCCCTTGTCCTCATCGTGCGTAATCTTCTGCCCAGAAGTCGACACAATGAAACGATCTTCCCTCTCTGCTCGGCCAGAAGGAAGAGAAAGGATACTAGAACCATTTATCCTCGAATCGATGTTTCTACAAAAGGTCCGTTTTGAGTGGGCGCTTGCTTGGTATTTTACGGTAAATCTAGGCCCAACGACTCACCCGAGTGCACGTGTACACGAGGTAGTCTGTCGCTCCAGGTTTTTCCGGATGGCTGGAAGCAGTTCCTTTCGAACTTTTATCAGGTCGTTCACAGAAAGGAATAGCAGCTTCAGGTAGGTCCTCTTCAAACCCACTAGGTGGTTAGGCTGTAATTGCCCAAAACAATTTGCAAATCTGGGAGATACAAAACCTAGGAAATAGTGACACATATATAAACACCATTACTTAACACGGAGTCACAGTATTAACTTACAGACGAGCAACTGCGATGAGGTAAGAACAGAAAGCAAAGCTTGTCTTCAGACAAGCGAATTTGGACCTTGACTCATAAGTGAAGTTGTTACCATAACCACACACGATGCGAAAAATACTGCAAACTCTTACCAGATCGAGATCTTCTTTTGGAACTTGTTCCACCCTCACGACAGTTCCCTGGTATTTTCGGGTGAGGAAAGAAATAACTTCTTGCTCTGTGCCCGGCTTCGCGGCGACGTAGAAGTAAGGCTCGTATGGCAGCGAAGCTTTGAAGCGGCTTCCATCTTCCTCGATGAAGTAGTAATCGACGGCACTGATCAGGCGTTTATCTTCGTTCAGGATTTCCGTCTGCAAAAATGTATAATCACATTAGAGGGTAGACATTAAAATGTCATTTATTAAACCCATAGCGAGTGCCAAAATTTGGTTACCGGGTGTATGTTGATAAGCCATCCGATCCTTTCGGTTCCTTCCTGGTGCCGTTTGAATCCGAACTTGGCATCAAGCTCGTCGTTAGAAAGTGACTCTAGAAGTCGCCTTTCCGACGTGTCATCTCTCCTATGAAGAAATCAAGTCATTTCGTGAAACGGGCGAAACTAAGGAGCGAAAGCACGAGACGTTCAGAGAACGGTATGGGAGCTTTGTTCAGCTTACGTTGGGAGTTTGCCGTCGTCACCGCTTTTTCCGGCCTTGTCGAACTTGCCGAACTTCAACCGACCAGTATTCTGCCACACCATGGCTCATAAACTGTATAATTTTAGGTCATTCTGAACTTTCTGCAGCGTGGCGATTACCCGGCCGTCTCTTTAACAGCTCCCGCCAAATTTACTCCATAGCTCACATTTCCACCGCTACTTTGTAAAGGCGCTACAAACAAAACTAAAACGTTTAGTTTCGTTTTCTGATATTTTTTTCAATTCAAGATTCTTATTACATTACAAAAATCCGAAGGGTCTGTAATATTCACGAACGGTAAAAAATATTTCAATAAAATATTGCCTTCAATGGGAATATAGCTACAGGGCTACAGCGTAGACCCGAACTAAGCATATAAATAGACACGTTACTGATCAAATGTGACAGTGTTACAGTTACAGTTACTAAGGGGAAAAAGTAATCCTGCTAAAGTTACAGTTACAAAATTGAAATAGGGAAATAAATTTTTACCGTGAATACAAGGCAACCTCATTGATACAAGGATTCGGGCCACTTTCGGCCGCCAAGACAGGGAGCCGAAAACACGGTTTGGGTTTTGTTTGCGTGCTTTTAAAGGGCAAAAAAACCGCTATGTTTCGGGCATTCCGCAATTCAGTCGATCTTTTGTTACCTTTTCCACTTCCACTGGTTTCTTGAAGTGCTGTAATGATTCGAAATTGACTGGGCAACTTTTCTATGGCGGATCTTAGCGAAATAAAAGAGGCAGCGAGCCGCGGTCGTCGAGCACGAACAGTCTCTGTCTCGCGAGCGTCAATTTCACGTTGATCGCTTAATTTTGAGATCAAAGATGCACACATCCGACTCTTCCGGACAGCGAAGATATTTATTCGAAAAAATCACCACTTGAGTTCTTATGAAAATAAAGATTGATTGAAAAATTAATTAATATTCGCCCAGATATAACTTTTTTTTTTTTTTTTCAGCCTGAACGCGGGCTTGTGAGCAAAAACTTACAAACTTAAAAATAAAATAAAACGTTAACTTTGAGAGTTTCTGTCAGCAGAGGACTTCAGAACGGCAGGAATATTCTTCGTGGTAACGGTACAAGAACTCACCGGACAATAGCTCACCGGACAAAAGCTCACCCGTTTTTTTACAGACCCGGACAAAAGCTCACTTAATTTTTTTTTCTACAACCAGGGCGAAACACGGGGGTGGGATAAAGTGCGGACGCGGACATTGCACCATTTTTAGGAGAACTGGTTCCCCGTCCCATGCAAAAGTGTCGACAAATAAGCCATAACAGGCGGAGAAGCAACGATTTGGGAAAAAAATTTAGGTCACCGAAATTGAGTGGAGCTGATAAGATCAAGCTTGATTGACTCACGGTATGCCGGAGTACCCTTGTTCCACGCCGAAGAAACTTCGTGAATCCAAGTTTTTGATTTATGTCATGCTAAACGCGCACATAAAAGTTAGGCAAAATGTCTCTTCATTACTAACGCATGGGTTTTCTGGGGGTTCAAGTTAATATTTGAAGTGAATGGCTAAGAAAATTATATATTTTCTTAGCCAATCATCTGCACATATTCGTTCATATATATATATATATATATATATATATATATATATATATATATATATATATATATATATATATATATATATATATATATATATCCTCTTTAGAAATCTGTGCGGGATTTTGGATAGGCTGGCGTTGCCTCCGCCACAGCTTGTGTTCGAATCTCTAATCAACAAACCATGCGCCTGTCAGATTTAATTTATCATAGCATTCTAGTGTCGGACGCATGCACCTAAGTTGTCCGCACTTTAAGACCAATATGCAATTTTCTGCTGGTGAGCTTTTGTCCGGGTCTGTGAAAAAATGGGTGAGCTTTTGTCCGGTGAGCTTTTGTCCGGGATTCCTTTTCGCATAGAACCGAATCTGAGGTTCGGTTCCAGTTTGATTTCAGACACGTCAATTTTTGAACTTCGAGAGCCAGATTTTTCTTTAGAGCATGCAATAAAGCGTTCGTTCGTGACACGATTAAAATAAGACGTGACACAACATGACAGTTCGAACAAATGCGATATGTCCCCAGGAGTGTCGTGTGATCGTAAGAAGTCGGACGCAAAACTAGATTTCTTACCTTATCACCTAGGTTCTAGAATCTAAAATTGCCTTTTGACGTCCGCGTCTGCCAGGGACGGCGCCAGGATCTTCATAATGGGGGGGCAGTGGGGAGGCGAACCAAATTGGGGGGGGGGGGGGGGGGGGGGCGGTTGCTTTGCGGTGCTGTCGCCCACGGGCTTATGCAAGATAGCTTATGCGGTGTGCTTATTGAAAAGGGAAATGCGGAGAGACACGAGGAGGAAGACGGGGGGGGGGGGGGTGTATTACAGCAGGGACCTCTGCCCCCTGTGCTCAGACTCACAACCAGGTTTTGCTTCCCTTTCTGAGACAGTGCGGAATTCCCCATGACCTCGACTTTAACTAAGCTCCCCTTCGTTCACGTCTCCGGTCTCCGCTGAAGATACGCACCACAGAGCGGAATACGGAGAAAAGCCAGCAGGCGTCACGAAGGGAAGCTGCTTTTTCTAAAGCACTTGATAGCTAACTCGCCCGCGGTTCGGGAGATATGAAGGCACCCTACCCGCGGTACGACTTCCAGTGGCTGGAAGCTAATAGAAAAAAAAAAAAAAAACGCATGAACGGCTTTAAAGTCTGGACACTCGTTGCACTGGGTCTTCAAGCCGACGTCGTAGGCAATTATTTGTGTACAAAGCTGCTTCATCTTGGGGTGGCAGAAGAAATTTTAGGGGAGGCGCCCGCCACCCCTCGCATCCCCTCGGCGCCGTCCCTGGCGTCTGCACCCGTGTACACGTAAATATCACCCAAGGGATCGCCGCGTTAGGTCGACGTTGTCTACATTCGTCGCCAAAAACACGCCGCTCGCTTTTTCGCGGGCATGATCGAGCACGAGTGGCAGTGGCGCAATTATTCGCATCCACCTTGAAGTACGTCCGACAGGCGCGTAGCTATAGTTTCGCTTTGGCCAGCTCGAACACACTCATGGCGACGTAGCGCAGGTGACGAAGCGATGCTCTTCTCACACACGTTTTTGTGCGCGCGTAGGCTGTGCGGCTCCCGGATATTGCGTATTTCGTGACGTCGCGCTGATTCCGTGCGCGCGCGCATAAGAAAGTTGGAGGATTTCAACTTTTTCTGAACGCGCCGGAAAACGCACTGTGACGTCGTAGGGCGCTCCTGCTTCCGGCCAATCTGTGGAGGGCACTAGTTCCGACTCCGCGTTTCTTTGCCGTCTGGCGCAGACGCTCTCCGCTTGCCCGAAGCCGCACCGTCATAACTAGGGTGTGTATTTTCCGGTTTTAACCGAAAAACACCGATAAACATCCGTCGGTGACGAAAATATAAAATCGGCTAAAACCGAAAAACACCGGTGGTTGGATATTTTTGCCCTGGTTAAAACCGAAAAACACCGGCCGTTGCTAGTTTCCGACCTAGCGCAACTCTTTCCCCGTAGAGGTTCGTCAAACGTGTTATCTCGTGGATCCTGCATTCTTCCAGTGTTTATACATGGCTTGCAGGTGGCGTCAGTCCGCCCTCCTTTCTGGGGGTCAAAAGCGTCTGGTGAACGCAGTGGAAGCTAAGCTCTCACACGCCTTTCCCTTATTGTGTCTCCCATGGCCCCCTTTTGTGAAAAATTAACACAGTGGAGGGTAGGCTCTCACGTGCCTTTTCCTCATTGTGTCTGGCCAAGTGATGTCGGTGCAAGCCATATATTCAGAGGTTGCTGTGGTTCCTGGAAGACACTGCCAACGTCCGTGTCGCACAGGAGCGTGCGTTTTCATAATTGCGGGTTGCGAACCGCAAGGAACGTGCTGCCATGACGGCAGCACGTTCCTTGCGTGTAGATGCAAGCATGAGAGTATGCTTGCATCTACTATAATAACCAAGTGTGAGACATAGTTGCTTCCTAGAGAAGAAGCGTATGAACTATGTGAATTAAGTTGGAACTCTCTGTCTGTGATCAATCGCTTCTTTTTTTTTCACCGATATTCACCGATTTTAGCCTCGTCGCGAGACGTTTCACCTAAATACACCGGTGTTCTGAAAATAAATATACACCGAAAAACATCCGCCGATTTTTCTCACAAATAAACACCGGAAAGTACACACCCTAGTCATAACCAACGCGCATACATGGTTGTGACCTACCTCGTTGGTTGTGACTCAGAAAGCGCACCGAAAACAGCAAAAACGCCACGAAATACGCAATTTCCGGGAAGTGCACGGCCTACGCGCGCACAAAAACGCGTTGGTTTGGATCGCGCTTTACATGCCTCGGTTGATTCGTGGACGTGGACCTGTTCGTAGGGGTCTAACTTCGTTGAATGTCTCAAGTGCAGTGGCGTCAGGTCGGCGGCACCCGGGGCGGAGGCTTGCGTCGATACCTCCCCCCCGGCTCGTCGCCCGCCGCGACACCCCCGGGAGCGCTGCACCCGGTGCGGTCCGCCCCCCTCCCCACCTTGTGACGCCACTGCTCACGTGTACACAAGTTTTCACTGGGCCATTGGGCCACTGGGTCCCCCTTTCCTCCACCTCCACCCCCCCCCCCCCCCCCTGGCGATGCTGGGCTAAACCACCTCTCTTCGAAAAAAACTCAATTTTAGGAAAAAAAAAAAAAGCAATAAAAAAGGAAACAAGCCTGCAGACGGCAGGAAATAAATACTAAAAGACTCCATGCAGGTCATTACAACTGCGACGGCAATTGCTAAGGCCCTCAATTCGCTCTTGCCCTACAAAATGAACATAGAAAGGCAGAAAAAAAAAAAGAGCTCGGGCATCTTACAATTGAGGTGTCGGAAGCAGAAAGAAAGGAGGGGAGGGGAGGCCCCAGCAAAAGTGAAGATTTCGGGGGGGGGGGGGGGGGGGGGGGAAAGGGGCGGGCCCCATGCCCCCCCCCTGGGTACGCGCCTGTGCTTGATCCTGAAACTCTTTCGGCCCCGCTCCTCCACTCATCCACACTGCCTTAAATACCCTCTTGCAAAGCAAAAACAAAAAAAACAAAAAAACTAGATTTACAAAATTTTTGATGCAATACCGCCAACCAATGTAAA